GTTTTTTTTTTTTTTTTTTTTTATTCCTTAAATTCATACTTAACTTAAATTTTATATTAAAATCCAAGCCATTCATAGAAGTATTTTTAAAAAAGAATTTCATGATGACTACTTACCTCATAGTTGATATTTAGGGCCTTGATTCTCCAAGTTCCGGTAAATGAATTGCTCCAAATTTTATTTGGTAGATCCACTTAGTCTAGTTTGTGGAACCATAAATAATTTTTTGAAAATATGTTTGTATGAGATTTAATTTAAGAAAAATTGAGAGGTCAGAAATTAGTGTGGCCTATTCAATTGAACCCACCCAACTCAGTACTATGGGTTTTTTTTGCCTCAATTTCTTATGGAACTTAAAAGATAAAGTTGAAAGAAAGATCTAGAGACCACATTAAAAGTTGGTAGGAAAAACTTTTGTTATCGCCCTAGATAAACCTAGAAATTTTTTATTATTTGAGATGATTCAGACATTTTTTAGACCTTGATTTCTTCATGAAACCTCTTCGTTATCTTTCTTTCAAGCTTGAAAGTTTGTATTGGAAGAACGAATGCTTACGTATACCCCCAATTTCTCGATTCTTTCTCTTGGTCTCTTGCCCAAATTTACGCAGAAATTAGAGGTTATTGGGCAATTTGATGAGGAGCTCCTCACCTCCGACTTCTTCATGAATCTTCTCCCTTTGTTGCTACGAAGGTAAAAGAATAGGCCTTACCCAATGAGCTTTCGTGTAGGAAATAAATTTTTGATTATTCCCTTTTAAGCTTTAATCGGGCCGTATAAAATTTTTCTTGATTGCTCTCGATCCTAAGCTCCCAACTCTTGGTGGGTTCATGCCTCAACTCGAGGAAACATTTGGCATAGGTGGGAAAGGATGAATTTGTTCATAGCATCCAATTGCATTTTAAAGCTTTTGCCTTCCCACGACTATGAAAGCTTGTTGGGGAGCTTATTTAGAATGGGTAGGAAATGGTTAGAAGGAAAATGGTAACATAGCCCTCGAATTTAGAAAACAAATATGAGGAAGAGACCCAAAAATGAATTGCTTCTATTTTGTGTAACACTCGCTTATCCACAACTAGATTTGCAGTCGACAATATTTCAAAATATCAAGCAAGACATTTAAAATTAGTATCATTTAAAACTTAAACAACCAACCTAAATTCTTGACAGTAAAAGCATAATTACTCGAACAGACTCATACATGAATTTCTAATAGTCTCTAGCCCGTTGGTCTCGTTCTCGGTTGGCCTGCATCATCTAAATCTGAAAAGAAATTTTAAATAATTTTGATGAGTAATTAAATTGACCAGTAACTTATCTTTCATGAGTTATAACTAATCTTTCCAAGTGTTTTTAAGTTTTATTCGCCATTTACTCCTTCTTACTAGAGTCATCAGTTCATTAATGAGGTATCTCAGCTACCTTCAGCTCAAGTTACTGACTTTCTCTATATGCTTATCTAGAATTTTCGGACTCGTATGTAAGACTCGTTATCGGTCAAATACGACCCGTCTACTAATTTCTCTGGTGGCCTGTACATCTCATATACCAACGGTCAGGAGTACTCATTCTCTCTATCTTAGCACACAGTGCGTTGGTCAGGAACTCTACGGGAATTAGTAGACTACAATACTCATATAAATAGGTCATGGCTCAACCATCTATAAGCATATCCTAGAGTCATAACATTTCCATTAACTTGCATAGTGTCACGGTCATGCTTGTCCAAGACATGTTGTCCATGACCGCATGCTCGTGACACGGTGAAACCTTTGCCTTGTACTACTTTATTGCTTTCTTTTACCGCTTTCATGATATATTATTTCTTTTATGTTTTCTTTAAGAGTATGACGTTTCGTCAATGTCATGGCTACGCCTGGTAGACATGAAATGCCTCAAAATGTACTATAGGGGATACGACTAGTTGTCAACTTTTCCCTACCCGATAGCTATATGCAGTGAGCCGTTGTTGTTGACTTTTTGCTTACATTCCTGAGAATGTTTGATTAATCCATCACACCTAAATGGTGTGAAAGTTATCTTATTTATAATCAAATAAATTACAAGGATATGGAAATAGTAATAAATGGAAATAACAATAAATGGAAAGATATCTATAGTAATAAGACAAATATTACCTTATAATAAAATATTAAATATAATATATACGGGAAAGTATAATTTATTACTAAATATCCTTAACACCTCACCGCAAGCTGAGCGTTAGATTTGAACGAACGTGAAGCTTGGATCTGAAAAATTCAAAGAGGTTGCGAAACACTTTTCGTGAAGATGTCAACAACCTGGTTCAGAGGAGGCGTAGAGAAACACTTTTTTGGCCATCGAAAATTGCAGAGGGATTGCTGCTTAGCGGCGATACTGCCTTGGCTTCGGCGAGAATATGTCTAACCCATGAAGAGGGATTGTCGCTTAGCGACGATGCTGCCTTGGCTCTGGTGAGAATATGTCTAACCCCAAGAAGTAGAAGGGGAAACCTAGAGCAAGGGACAAAGACAATGTTGAAGCCGAAAGAGTCGCCACATTGGGCGAAGGAGCCAATTTTGGCGAGAAGGGCAGCTGGAAGAGTCGCCACATTGGGGCGAAGGAGCCAATTTTGGCGAGAAGGGCGGCGGCAACTTGGTTGGCGAAGATGCCAGTGCGGCGCCCAGATTCCAAAGGTAAATCTCTACAGAAGGTCGATGGGCTTATTGAGATTCTGTATATTTTCGAAGAGGAATGCTGATGAAGATCCTAAGATTAGGGTTTTTGTGAAGGATGAAGGATGAAGGATGAAGGGAAAATTGGGAAGAAAATGAAAGAGGCTATGTTTGGAAAAGGTGAGGTTGTATGTACAGAGTATGGCGAAGGATGATTTGGAGGTCAAAAGGGTGGAGCTGAAGAATAATCAATCGGCTCTGCATGTGGCAGCCATGACGACTGCCCCTGCGGCGTCAAAGCCAACAGTGGTGGTGGAGAAGAACAGTAGAAGATTTCAAAAGCCATTGAAGAGAAAGAATCCTGGTTGCTAAACCAAAATGGCTCTGATACCATGAGAATGTTTGATTAATCTATCACACCTAAATGGTGTGAAAGTTATCTTATTTATAATCAAATAAATTACAAGTATATGGAAATAGTAATAAATGGAAATAACAATAAATGGAAAGATATCTATAGTAATAAGGCAAATATTACCTTATAATAAAATATTAAATATAATATATACGGGAAAGTATAATTTATTACTAAATATCCTTAACAATTCCCATATAACACCAATTTCAATTTCTCTCTCTTGCTTTCAAAACTCTCTTTCTAAAACCTCTCTCCCCCGCTTTCTGACCCAAGGTTTGTATTCACATTGCCCGACCGCAGGCAACGTAACTCGAAGTAGACTTGACCCACTCAGTCCTGAGAGTGGGTGCCGCACAATCGCCAAATCTGCTGTCTAGAAACCGCGATTGTGACACATAACATACTCACATATGATACGGGTTTCCATATAATTATAACGTTCGACACATAGAACATTCCAGTAATCATTTATAACATGCTTGCTTCACATGCAAGCAGTCACAATACACAAATAGACATTCAATATCATCCAAGCACATATTGACCTACTAAGCTCTTAATCATGTAATCAACATACTCAGATGTTGCAAAACAAGTTAAGAAATAGTTTAAGGAACTCGATAGGTTACTTACCTCGTTTCGAACTCCTTTTCCCTTTGATGTACATTTAATAGGGTATTTTAACACAATTCCTTCCCATTAGACCTATACTTCACAATTTTAAAGGTAAGTATAGGCTAATCTTGATAGAACAGGACAAACCGAGATCCGAAACACTAGCTCACATGCACTCACTTGCCAACCTTCCCTGCCTCACGCGCCCGGGATACGTCCAGTCGCACCCCCAGACGCAGCCTTCCCACGTGCCTCACATGTCTCTTATGCGCTCGTCTTCAACCTCGCGTTTTCTGCAATTTTTTCCAACTTGTCCGTTAATACTCGTTGTATTCCTAAGCCATATCTTACTTGTAAAATACGAATTTCATCCCGATTTCTTCTATAACTTTATAGATCCCTTTATTATGAATCTAAAAAGCCATATTTCATAACTTATTCGTGGTATAGACCAAAATATCGAAATTTAAAGATTCGATAATATAGGTTTTCTCACCTTTGGTAGTTCTCCAATACGAGATCAAGACCACGAATTTTCCTCAGAAGCTTTCTTCTGCAAACATCCTACTAGCCTCTTCCTTGCTCCCTATCACAAATATTCACAAATCACCCATTATTTAAAGATTCCCAATTTTAGTCTTCCTCCCCTGTTTCCCCTTTCTTTTCCTCGTTTACCAGCTCACGGAAACTTCTCCTATTCTTCCTTTCACCAGGAAGCATTAATAGAACTTGATTGTTCTATACGGACCTAAATGTTAACCTAAAAATGATGTACAACTAACTTGTCAAAAATATCCACTTCAATCACGGCCTCACCAACTTAAACTTTGAATCCTGATTAGATTTGATGAGGTGATAAGTCTTCTAGAGGCTGTCCAAATTTGGAGAAAATCCAATTATTCCATCGAGTTTTGAAGGACTTTTTAATTCAATGGTATTTTCGCAAATACTTCAAACGTCAGCAGTATTTTACTAATCCGTCACTCTTCTTTTATTATTTTATTATTGTTTCTAGAAATCCAAGTTTTTTCTAAATTTTTTTTTACCCCTTTCGGTTATTTTGTAAGCCTCTTGAAATTCCTTCTCCATAAAGAATTAAAAATCTAGTAAATTCCTTAAAAATTGAAAAAAAAAATGACATTTTTACCCTTTATGTTTACCTTCTCCTTTCTCCAAACATTTTTTAAAAGACTTTGAAATCCTTGTGAAATCTTGTAGGGCATTGAAATTACTTGTCCTTGCTTGGGTTCCCTAAATTTCTTTATTTGGATTTTTTTTTTTGGATCTTTTTTTAACTTTCTTGTGATACCTTAAACTTACTCAAATTATCGTAACCTTACTTGGAGTCTTACACTATTATCACATAAAGCATGAAAGAAATATTCTAAGCATCACCTTGGTTATTCTTGGGTGCCGAGGAGGTCCACTAGGCTCCTAGAGAAACTATGTGGCTTAATGCAGACTTTCGATTCTATGGTACACTGTTCCAACTCCTCGTGTCTTTTTTAGTCTAAGAGCACTAGGGTCTAAACCCTATGGTCGTTGCTCACGATCCTAAGGTACTCAGTCTTTTAGAAGGTCATGACCTAGGCCATTACCTAGATGTTCTAACTCTAGCGCTCTAGTTCTAGCTCTATGAGGATAAACACGTTTTATAGGGAGAACACAATCAATCGTTTGAAGCTAAACATACTATAACATGCATTCATACAAGTTCAACAGGGAGAGATCCATCAATTTCTCGAAGCACAGACAAAAATAGCACATCCTCCTTTCTAACACAGTGGAAAGACATTAAAGTCAGCATGCATAATAAATTCTCATCCTAGGGGCATTTCGATAATTTCTGTGTATTTTCATTATAAAAATGACTTTCTAAGGTCCTAAACATGCATATTTTAACCATCTAAGATAAGATATGCTCGCATGCTAGCATGTTCTAGTGATCCCTACAAGTATTACTTGAGAAAGGTCTGAATGACTACTTATATGGATGACGTATGCATTCCCAAGCTAGCTTTTCCACACGTTAAGAAGCTCCAAAATTTCTTAAGTTTCTCAGGAAGGACCTTATCAAGTCATAATAAGGATAGTAACAAAGTTAGGAGGGATTATGCATACTACGCTCGTGACATGTGGCATGCTCTCATTTGCACGTTCTCCTACCACATCTCAGGTTCGATCTCTCGTGGGCATACAATTTTTTTAAATTTTTTTTTGTCATTGCGGGTCATCGGTCACATCGACAGAAATGGGTCGGATCCTCCCTGTAATAGCCCAAAAAAAAAATAATAAATAAACCAATAAAAATAATTATAAAAAAATATATACTTCAAAATAATAAAAATAATAAAAATTCATAATTAAATAACTATAAAAATAAAATTTACCCACCACCCTCCTCCACTAATACATATTTTCTATTATTTTCAACGAGCGAAAATAACTACTTTCTCAACATTTTCGTTTAAACTAAAATATTTGAAGAACAGGGCATCACAGATGGCCGCAAGAAGTAACTACTTTCTCAACATTTTCTTTAAACAATGCTACACTTACAATCAAAATAAACTAAAATAAACAATGAATTAGTCAAACGAAGAGGGAAGTTCTTGCAAGCTACCAATAGAGATGTTTACCCGGCGAGGATGGAGACGCCTTCCATTTCATTCCTCGTCTCGGCCCAGTTTCTAATTTATTTTTATTTTTTAATATAATCTTTATTAAATAAATTGTAAAAAAAATTCTAATAAATCAATATATTTCGTAACCAAACCCATATATAATGTTGTACCATCTAATATCTAAAATTTCAACTTTTAAGATTACAACATAGTTCTTAATAATTTAAAAAAATCTACAATTGAGTTTAAATATATAATTATAGTCTCAAAATTAACTAATTCATTTTTTTTAATATAGCCAACAAGAATATATATATATTAAGTGGGGATGGGCCGAGAATTGGGTGAGGATGGGGATAGAGAATATAATCCCATCCCTACCCCATTTATTTAACGGGGAAAATGTTTCACTCTCTTCCTGTCTAAATAGGAAACTCCCTTTCCATTTGGGTCTAAATAGGAAATTCCCTTTCCGTTTGGGTTGGAACCCATTTCCGTAAGTAAAATAGATATCTCAAATTACGAACAACAGTAACGATAAAAAAGAACAGAACACAACTAGATGATATCCTGTCAAATATCAATATACCATAAAAAGTAATATTACTAATGATAATATAATATTAAAATTATTAGTATTTTAAGGAACGTATGTGGACATAGACATTTGATAAAGTTTAGAAAACAAAAAGCTTCCCATCAAGTGGACGAACTAGTATTTATAAGTTTGTAGAAACTACCAAACCTTTTGACTTTCATACTTTTCTTTCATTATGATGTTGATTATGGGAATAACTCAAACAAATTTTAAAGAAATTTCGAAGGCAAAGCTAAGGAAACTGTCAAAGCTAAGGAACTGTCAACAAAATGCACCCACACGCATTTATGTCTTAAATTTGAAAGAGCCCATGCGTTTGCTTTGAGTTTATTTCACCCGTCATCTTGTCATGGCTTTGTGGTAAAAGTGTGTACGACAAGCTGAACAAATTTTTTAATCTCTTTTTCAATCTAAATAGGGAGCGTTATATTCTTTCAAAATTATGCATTTTTTTCAGGTGTTTGGATGAATTGGTGGAAATAATAGAAGGTAAGAAATTCAAGGACCAATTTTTTTCTACTTCCAATTTTCTATAATGTGGATCATGTACGAAAACAAACCAGAAATTTTGGAGAAACATTGACCAAACATCAAGCTTATCTCAAGATGAAAATCTAAATTTATTAGGAAGCTTTAACTACGGCTGCTAACTTGCATGGTTGGCATCTCAGACCTAAGTATATATTCTTAATATTAAAGGATTAATTGGACTTGTCATTTTTAACTTTAATTATGTGGTTAACAAGGTATGACCTAAATGAAGCTAATTTTATTCAAGACATTGTTAAAGAAGCATTGTCTATATTAAAACGTACTTGCACACCCATATATCTAGAAAGTACAAAGTTACACTCCCAGCCACAACTAAAATGTTCTTATACTAATTGTTGTACCCTAACACCACAACGAAAATGTTTTGATACTAATGTTGTACCCAAATGTGAAAATCAAAATGCTCTGATACAACTTGTGCCCTACTGCCACAACCAAAAAACGCATACTCAATTGTTGTAGTCGAAGCTACAACCAAAGTGCTATGATACCAATTGTTGTACCCAAAGCTTTGATACCACTTGTTGTAGCCAAAATGCCACAACAAAAAAAGTTCTGATACCCAATTGTTGTAGCATAGGCGGAAGCAAGATCGATTACACTTACACACCCACAAACAGAAACTAAACAAAGAGACACAAAAATTTATGTGGTTCGGAGAGAAGAAATTTTCCTACATACAGGGGTGGTAGCCAATCTCACTATAACCAAAGTGTTTAAAGTGTATCTCTCACATTCTCACACTACATACAAAATGACAATGACACTACATTACTCACAACTCCACATGACTCCACACATAAAAACAATGTTATACCGGCCTTTACATAGGCATAACAATACTAATTCTTGAACCAAATAAATGAGACTAGTAATAAATATGATTATGAACTAAATGAGAGTTTGTATCGTTCATTTACTATAGAAGTTTTCAGTAAATTTATTAGAGGAATGTGTCCAATAAAAATTGTTTGTTCTTTTGCATATCCTACTGGTTTTCCAAATGAATAGTGCGAATTAATAACCAAGATAAATAAAAATATTAATTAAAAGGATTATAAACTAAATGAAATTTAATTACCAAAATAAATGAGAATTATAACGAACAATTTACAACATATCACCATCACTGCCGCCATCCTCCGTCATCATCACTTCATCATTCACCAACCTCTCATTAGAACTCTCAATTCCAAGGCTTTTAATACACGATATCAACCAGTCGACGCCGCTGCAAGCGTTGTCGATTAACCAACCCCATTCGAGTCCTTCCTCGCTGCGAACAACCAGGAAGGAAGAGGAATATGATACATACAGATCTTCAAAAAAAAAAAATGCAATATGAATAAAGAAAAATAAAATAGGAAGAGATGAACCTGCTTGTTTAATATTATATCATCAACGTTGTCTCGACTTTTGGCCAAAGATTCACAACCAATGGCATCCAATTCTTGTATACACATAGGGAGGTTTGGAATTTCTTGAAGAAACATGTCATTCCTTATTCGGAGATTCTTTAAGGACAAAAACTTAGGGAGACATGAGAATTTGTTACCCGACAAAAATAGAGAAGATAAGAAAGGGGTGACTTCACATAAAGCTTTCAAAAAATCAGTATTTGATATGGTGCAGTTTTCAAGAACCAAGTAATGGTGTTCATAAAACATAGGCTCCCTTTTGAAACTGCTAAATGAGGAAATTCTGAACTCGACAAAGTTTCCATGATTTGAAGAAGAGCATGTTGGATGGATAGTTGAGTCCCAAGTGAGGGGTAGCATTTCAAATCTAGAACACCCACCAAGGCTAAGTTCTCGAAGATTGTGTAACAAATAAATGGTATTAGGAATGGAAATGAGGTTTGTACAACCGTGAAGGTCTAAATCAAAGAGCGCTGTAAGGTACCTAATTGAGGAAGGAAGCTCCTTTATGGCTGTAAAACTCAAATCCAACCGTACTAAAGATTTCATGTTTTCAGCAATTTCTGGAAACATTTCAAGCTTACAGCACCCAGAGAGATATAAATATTTAAGGGACTTTAATTCGAGGTAGCTTGGAAGCATTTCAAGTTTGGTACATCCTCTAAAGTCCAACTTAATCAGACTATCCAAAGATCCAATAGACTCGTGAATCACTCTTAAATTTGTGCAGTTATTGAGATACAATGTTTCAAGGCTTGATACTGCAGAGAAGTCGGGAAGTTCCTCAAGTTTATTGCAATAAGAGAGATTCAAAACTTTAAGAGACTTCAACATGAAGTAGCTTGGAAGCTTTTTAAGGTTTGAACAATGATTAAGGTCTAAGGTAATAAGCTTACCAAGAGAAGCAACTGTTGTCGGAATTATTCTTAAAATTGTGCAGTGGCTAAGATACAATTCTTCCATGCTTGATGATGCAGAGAAGTCCGGAATTTCCTCTAATGAAGCAGAGTAACTAAGATCAATGAGCTTCAACCTTTTACAATCCTGAAATACATGGAAAAGAAAAAGAAAAAAAAAAAGTAAATAGTGATCGGATCAATTTTTTTAAAAGAAAATCTTCCAATCACAAAAATAGAAAGATAATTACCGTAAATCCTTTCTCAAAATTTCTGATGAGACTATGTGGTAAACTTAATCCGACAAGATTTTTCGTAATAAAGCAGGACGGCAAAGATTTCTGAGTAAATCCATGCCACGTAATCCATTTTAAGTTAGGCGGTAGATATTCAAGATTTGTAAAAAAACTTGCATTTCGAACCATAAGTAATTCCAGATTTTTCATGTTTTTAAAAGCTCGTGGATCCACGTCCAAACTTTTGGGATTTGGCAAGTCTAATTTTATGCCTCTAACTGCATCCGTTCCCTGCAAACTCGTAAATTTAACAATTTAATATTACTTATAACTTACTTTGACAAACATTAGTCTATCACCAAACATTGAAAACAAGTAAAATAAACAAAGTATGGGCTAAGTGTTACTCACGGAATTATCCATGAACACCTTCAGAACATCTTCTTTCAACCACAATCTACTCCTTTTTCCCGGCTTAGAAGATTCACTATTGATTATTGTATGACCCATTTGTTGTATTAAATCATGCATTTCCACCTTATCATTTTCAACCATAATAAGTGAAAGATCATCAAGGACGGTAAGTCCATAATCTGAATTGAGATGACATGCGTTTAAAGTATACTTAACGTAGTCAATTTTTTCTCCCACTAAGAAACAAGAAATATCAAGGAAAATCTCCTTTTCTTTTTCTTCAAGCTCATCAAAACTTTTTTGAAGAATATCTTTGATGCCTATTTTCAAAGAGTTTTCAAATTCATCTAATATGCTTCTCCATTTTGTTTGGTCGTTTCTTTTATAAAGAAAAGAACCCAAAACAACCAGAGCCAAAGGATGACCCTTACAATAACTTGTAGCACGTTCGGAAAGGTCTGAGTAATCACTTGGTGGATGACTTTTCTTAAAAGCATGCCAACTAAAAAGTTTAAGGGCGTCGTCGTGATTCATTCCTCGAATACCATACATTTGATCAAATTCATGGATAGAAAGTAAACGTTTGGCAATTGTTGTCACAATGATTTTAGTACCAGGACCAAACCAATCACGCCCACCAACCAATGCTTCTAACTGCTCAAGCTTATCCACATCATCAAGAGCTATAAGAACTTTCTTTGAACGAAGTCTATTCCTTATGATGTTGATTCCTCTATAAAGATTGCCAACCTTCAAATCTTCCTTTAAGATCTCATGGAGTAGGTGCTCCTGTAGCTGAACGAGGCCATTGAATTGCTTTGATGCTTCCCTAACTTTTGATAGAAAGCAGCCAGCTTCAAATTGGTAAGCTATTTTGTTGTATAAAGCTTTAGCCAAGGTGGTCTTACCTATGCCACCAATCCCATATATCCCCACCATGTACACGCCATTACTAGGTTCATGTTGTGTCCAATAATGGGAGTGAAACCTCATATTTTCTAATTGAGACTTAATTCCAACTAGATATTTTCCTGTATATAAGGGCGTGCAAGTGCGATTTAATATAGACAACACTTTTTTAACAATGTCTTGAATAAGTTCAGCTTCCTTCCTGTTGTTAAGCATGTAATCATATTAAAATTAAAAATGAAAAACATTCTATAAAGAAATAAACAAGTACTTAAATGAATCTTATAAAGATTAGGAATAAATACCTAGTTCCAAGATCCCATCCAGACAAGTTGGCAGCATTAGTTAAAGCTTCCCTCCAAATTTGGATTTTTTTTTCGAACTTAGCTTGATGTGTGACTAATGCTTCTCCAAAACTTCCTGTTTGCTTTCGTATATCTAATGGATCCACCTTATAGAAAATTGGCCAAACTATTTGGCCCTTGCATTTTTTACACTCGATTATTTTTACCAATTCATCCAGACACCAAGAAGAAGATGCATAATTTTCAGAGAATATAACAATAGAAATCAAAGCTCCCTCTATAGATCGGAAAAGGGATTCAGAAATTTTCTCACCCCTGTTGAGCTTGTCATCAATGAAGACATTGACTCCCTTTTGCCTTAAAGCCATGTCAAGATGACTGATGAAACTGGATCGAGTATCCTCTCCTCTAAAACTCAAAAACACATCATAACTGCACTCAAAATTTGAAAACAAAGGGGATAATTCCTCCATAGCAACGAAGAACCCCAATTTGGAAAATGTGGGAGAAACACTTAAATTTAGACCGTTTTGATTGAAATTTGTTTGGGTGAAATTGTAATGATACAAGTAGTAGACATAATAAAAGTGCTGGTGAAATTTCTCGACGGTTTCTTGGCTTTGCCTTTTGAAGTTCTTTGATATATTATTAGAAATTTGGACTCCACCATAAGTGATCAAACAGAAGCATGAAAGTCAAAAAGATTGGAAGTTTCTGTGAAATTATTGATAAGAGATGGTCTTAATAAACTATCAAAGGTATTTATATCCATCTATATTTTAATCTCGTCCCCTTTGGGATTAAAAAAAAAAGAAGGAAACAAACAACATTATAATAATTTGCTTATTGATTCTGAGAAGAAAAGAATTCCATTTTAATTTATACCAAAATGATCCATTTTTACTTAGTTGAATCAGTCTACGATGAAAGATACTTTTTTTCATACGTCTGTTATTCAACTTATGTCGGCAATTTTTTATGTGAATTCAGCGGGTCATCCTATCCTTCCTATGGATTCCCCCACCGACCAAGTGACACACCAACCATGCCCCTTCCTTTTCTCCTATCATCAAATCCACTTCTTCCCTTTATTTTTTTTTTTTTTTGTCTTTTGTCTTTCATCCTTCCGTTGTTCATCCTATACAAGTGAGTGAAAACTCGTTCTCTCTAATTCAAAAAAGAAAAGAGGGGCCGATTGAGGTGGAGGAGGCCTATGCTAAAGCTAGAAAAAAAAGGATAGTTAAGGTTACAAAGTCAAGTCAACTGGTTAAAGAAAGAAAGTTCAACTATGAAATCACTTAGCCAAATGAATTAATAAGTAGTAGGTAGTGAGGCGTTGGTACAGAGTTGCATCAACCGTAGAATATACACTAAGTGACAAACTGAATCTCTTTTTCTATTCTATTGACTTACCCACCCTATTTCACAACTAATTGATTGAGCAACTAGTAGTTGCCTAAATAGGAATAGTTTTTATTGGATCCCTATTATAAGGAAAATAATGATAGTACAAGGACAAAAATAAACCTTTTTAATTAAAGACACCAAAATCAACTCGGATAACTAAAATAATATTTAATCCATATAATTGCCTCAACAACGTACTAATAAAATATGTTAAAAATATCTTAAACTCAAAACTTTACCATATTATTTTGATTGAATTCTAGAAAGTAGTTCTAAAGTTTGAGCTTTGTATAAATACATAAACTTTCAAAATTATTTTAATAACCTTAATCTTAATTTTTTTTTTTATTTTTTTATTTTTTTTTATCATTAGTATATGATGAAGACTGTAATATTTTGTTTCAAAATTGTCTTCAAACGTGTAAATTTTGCATTTATACTCTTAACCTTAAAAAAAAAAAAAAAAAAAAATACTTTCTGTATTTAACTATTCATCATTTTATTATATTTAGAGGGGAGATTTTAATTTTGTAACTTCGTGAGATTTTGTGGAATTTTATACTTTAAATTGATTTTTTTTTTCTTTTTTCAAATAAATATAATTTTAAAGAAACGGATTATTTGAATGTTAAAATTTCTTGTATTTATATTTAGACATACTTACTTTATTTTACTTGAATATTTGAAGAAGAAGTGAAAAATGGAAGAGGCAATAGAGTGTAGATTAACATTTTACATTCATATGTTAGCCGTTAGAATATATTTTTTTTAAAGGTTTATGTGTATTAATAAGAATATTTTTATTAAAAAATTAAAAGAGTATTAATAGTACTCGTTGGATACTGGCTTTTGACTAATTGAAGGGGCCTTTCGGATTTCCTAAAGGCAAAATAGATATTGTTTCGGTTCGTCATTTTATCACATATGGATTTGACAAAATGTGTTCCATAAAATTTTTGGACGATTTCCTTAACTTTGTCTTTTTATTTTTTATTAGAAATTTCACATTCCACATGACTTAACAGAAACATCAAAAGTCAATAAGCTTGGAAGTTTGGGAGAAATTATTTATAATAGTTAATTAATATGTATCGTTAGAGCTTATAATTGTAAGTCTATAAGATTTTGTTGCAAATTCCTAATAACATTAAAATGATCAAGTTTGTGGTACGAAAAATAAAATTTGAAATATTTAAATTAATATGTAATATATATTACAAATAAAATATATGGAAGATATGTATGTATATATATTTATTATATCATATATATTAAATATTATTGAATGTTATTACAAGTGAATGAATTATTTATATCATAGTTACATAAAGATTCAAATGAACTAGATGTACATCTAGAAGATTAAGTACTTTATAAGTATAATTTGAATTTAACAAATATTCCAAACTAGAAAATTTTCTTCAAAATTTGTGTGAATTTTCTTTCAATCCGCTAATAAGATCTTGGGATAAAGATTTGACTCACTATAACACAATTTTTTTTGAAATTTCACCGTAACGATCACGATATAATTTAAATGATAGGTTTGATTAAGAGACCCATATTTTGATTCAAAATTGTGTAGAAGTAATGATCATTTGTTTTGTGGTGAATAATTCATTCTTATTTTGGTGCATTTGGGCTAACCCTGTGTCCCTCACTCGTACAAAATACATCAAAATTAATGCTCATTTCGTTTGAGATTAAGTCATAAAAGGTCTACTTAGTAAGTTTTAACTAATATGTTTATAATTAACATTTGGTTAGTTTGGAAAAAAATTAAAATTTAATCTCTAGAGTTTAAAATAATAATATCTTTATTATTGGATAAAATCTCATAAATAGTCTCTTTGGTGTAATAAAACGAATGGTTAAACAAAATCTTGTATGGTTAGTTCTTAAATTTTTTGAATCATTTTATCTTTAAACGTCTTTATCAAGAAAAGAAATCAGCATTCACCACACTAACAAAAGAAATCTCCTTCGACGAACTCATTATGAACATCTCAGATGAAAATAATCACTTAGTGGATGATATTCTTTCTTCGAAGAAGCATGTCTACTAAAAAGCTTCACTCGGCCAAGAAAACCTACTCAAGTAAAAGCTTTAAGACCACGAGCCCAGTAAGGTTTCCAATTGATGAAGGTAGCTCTTGTTGGAAATAGTCCACGGTCAAAATATGTCAAGAAAAATAAAGAGAAAGAAAAGAACAATGTGAGGGGAGAGATCTTGTGGAACAAAGAACCTCAAGCATTTAGCTTCTCAATTCGCTTTGTTGGTGTAAAAAAGCATACCTCTCATGAACTCATTTATAGAGGAGAAAACTCTAACTAGCTTCCTAAACTTTTTACTCAAGTTAAAAGAACAACTAATGATCTTCCTAATTAACACATAAAACTTGGTTCACAATTTTTGGAAACATTTCATCACAGTAAAACTCAAATCTAACGACTCTAAAGATTTCATGTTTTCAGCAATATTTGGGAACATTTCAAGTTTCCAGCAGCTAGAGAGATAAATATTTAAGGGACTTTAACCCGAGGTAGTTGATATGAATTCAACTATTGACCCTTTGCATGTACCTGAATGACCAATTACAAGAAGCAAGGCTAAGAAGATACAAGAGGCCTATACATTGCATCTTCAAAGGCTAGTTATTGTACAAGTTGAAACAAAGACTTTTGAGCCCAAAAATTTTTATAACATTAACATATCAAATCAAGAAAATAATAGAGTGGCTGACATTGGAAAGTGATTAGAAGACTTTGCTTTGATAGTTGAACTACCAATTAAGACAATTTATGTTTGCCTTATTTTCTTCAATTTGTATTTACAAGCTTTTATTGGTAGTGTTGAGTTATGGAGTCTGCTCCCTGTATTTATAGCTTGGTCAACGCTATATCCGGTAAAGCTATATTTGGTAAAGCCATATATGGTAAAACTATATCCGGTAAAGCTATATATGATAAATAGCTATATATAGTAGATGGTTAAATCTGGTAAAGCTATATTTAGTAGACTGAATCATATATATATCCCGTCCAATAAAGCTTTGAAAATGTACTTTCTATTCTCTGTACTCTCTCTTGTTGTACATACCTGAAATCATCAATAAAAAAATCCTTTTAGCCAGAGTTCTCCTTGCAATTTTCTCTATCCTTTTCTTTGTGTTCATCTAGATCGAGCGTCTGCGTTGTTGTGCGATCCTAACAACTGGTATCAGAGCAAGGCAAAATTCACCACGATCTGTGAAGATGGAAAGTTCAAAGATTGGAATTGAGAAGTTCGATGGATCCGATTTCGGTTTCTGGAAGATGCAGATTGAAGATTATCTGTACTAGAAAGATCTTCACGAACCTCTGTTGGGGGTGAAGCCGGATACCATGACCACGGAACAGTGGAAGCTCAAGGATCGACAAGCCTTAGGGATGATCCGGTTGACGCTATCCAGAAACGTGGCGTTTAACATCATCAAGGAGAAGACAACGTCAGATCTGATGAAGGCGCTGTCAAATATGTATGAAAATCCGTCGGCTATGAACAAGGTGTATTTGATGCGTAGATTGTTCAATCTACAGATGTCTGAAGGTGGACGTGTTGCGGATCATATAAATGAATTCAATATGATCATAAGTCAACTGGGTTCGGTGGAAATTAATTTTGAAGATGAAATTAAAGCGTTGATTTTGATGTCATCCTTACCCGAGTCATGGGATACTGTTATTGCCGCAATCAGCAGTTCCCGAGGATCTGATAAACTGAAGTTTGATGAAATTCGAGATGTAGTTCTCAACGAAAGTATTCGCAAACGAAAAACTGGAGATTCATCAGACAATGCTCTCAGTGTTGATCGAAGGGGAAGAAGCAAATCAAAGAGCTCAAACAAACATGGGCATTCAAAATCAAAGAATCGGAGAAAATCTCCAAACAAACCCAACGTAACGTGTTGGAGCTGTGGGGGAAAAGGACACTTTCGGACAGATTGTACAAAACTAAAGAAGAAGCAGAATCATAAATCTGAAGATGATGATGATTCTATATACACAACAGAAGATGTTGAGGACGTTT